ACATATATATATATATATATATATATGTGTGTGTGTGTGTGTGTGTGTGTGTGTGTGTAATAGAGTAACCTTATCTAGGGGGTAAAATTCTAAAGTAATAATTTCTTTTGGGGCACTCCATAATTTTATGACGATTGTGCTCTACAGTTTGGATCACACACACACACTAAGCTACCCAAACAAACAAAAAGCTGCATACCTGATGCTAATCCCATTGAAACAGATGAGGAAAAGAAATTTTAAAAAATCTATCACAAATAAATATACTATAGAACCATAGAAAAATGAATTGCTCAAAGCTGTTAGTATGCTCTAATATTACAGAATCAAACAACATTCACTTTTACAGCTTTCATGATGATGCTTTTGTTTGCATCAGTGAATGTTTTTCTTGTGCTCCTTGACCATCAAAAGAAGGTATTATTTTTGATCCTCATCTGTGATGTGAAACTGGCTGTATTTTTTCATGAGAGCCACACCATCTTCCGTGATGTCATCGACGACTTGGAGTTGCTTGCATGTTTCTTTGCCCTTCAAGAATTCTTCATCTTGTTCTTATTAGCCTGGATTTTTGGAAAAGAAGCAGTCTAAATTTATGCCCATGATTTCGAAAAAATGGAGATTATTGGCTGTGATAATGTTCTCCAGGACTTTTGGTCTTTGTCTCCAAGTCCTTCTCTTCAACTAGTGCTCTGTTCTGCCAATTCTAACTCCTATGTCTTTCAAGAGCTTGGAGCATACGGTGCTTGGTCTCCATAAACACGTTGTCATCAAAGAAGGTGTGAGTGATGAGTTTCTCAGAGAAATACCAGAGGTGGCAAATAAACTTCTTCAGTGTGGTGTTGGCCATCTGTGGACCTGAAGTCTTGTAAATTTAAAAATCCTGGATGAGTTGCAGGTTGTTCCTTGGAGCAGATAATGGGAGGGTGGCTCGGTACCATGCTTTGATGTAAATGGTGGACACAATAATGCACATTGTTCTCATTGCTGCCTTCTCTTTGTCCATGAGGTTAAACAGGCTTTGAAACATGAAGACTTTAGGAGCATAGATGGCTTTTGCCATCCATTTGATGTGATGCATCATTCCTGGAGCAATCAACCAAATTCCTTGAAGTGGCATCCCTCTGAACAGAAGAAGAAAGCATTGACATTAATAGAACAGAGCATCAAGAGAGCATGAGGTAAAACATGGAATTATGGTAACAACCTCTAATTTTGAATGTATTTGACTAAAAATTGGTCCAACTTAGTTTTTTACTAATTCTTACAAATCCCTAGGGTGCTCCACTAAAACTTCATAAGTTTGAAAATAAGGGACACCCTAATATATCTATATCATAAAGTGCCTAAAGAATTCACTAAATACAAGTAATGTTTTTTAAGCCATTGAAACAAAATATAATTTGTTTGTTTTTTTGCACTTTAAGAAGTTTTACCTATCTTTATTCTTCATATCCGTAAAAAGCACCTGTTCTTACAATACCAGGTAGTTGCACCAACCATCAATAATTCTGCATGTCAACAACAGCTTGCCGAAGCAGCTAAAGAAGTGGCTAGGGCTGTAGAAAATATTGTAACAGTTTGTCAGGTGGGTCTGTGCTTTAATTTGTAATGTTTTTCATTCATGTTGGAGAAAGTGTTACATTTTGTGTTCCTTTGTGTAAGATATTGTGTGCCAGTTTTTCATGTTTTTTTTTAATTTTATCACAGTTGTTAATTTGCAATATTGCATTTTTTATTAATTTCTTAAATTTTTGTTGGAAATAATTTTAGGCTTTCCATTTTCTGTGTAGGATATAGTGCTAGATTTATTTTTGAGTTTTATCAAAGTGAATATTTGCCAAAATATACTTTATCAGTTTTGGGTAATGGTAGCACTTAGTGTTGCTTCAGGGAGTAACGACCCTGCCCAGATCACGAGTTCCGGGCTCAGCTGGCTCCAGCTGTCAGTACCCGGTTTCGACCCTGTACCAGCGAAACAATGAAGTCAGCGGCAGCTGGCTGATGGATGCTATCTTGGAGCATTTGGTAAGTAACATCATCGACGGTCAGAGTTAGCATACTGGCAGACAGAAGAATCACTTTGATCAATGGCTGGCAGTAACTATTTCAGTTAGCAAAATACTGCGAGTGATGGTGTCACTATAAAAATACCCACTAACAACATGCCCAGCTAGCACATTAGTGTCGGGCCAAAATCCCATCAGAGTATGGAAAGTGAAGCAAACAGAGGCTGTAGTGCTCAAGGCCAGATGGAGCATTCTTCAAATGGAAGAAAGCTGGTTCCACTTCATGACATCTCATGAAATCTCTCAAGTTCAATATTAATCATCTAAATGAAAATAAAAGAGATTTTGAGTTAAATCTAAGAAACAGATTTGGAGTGTTGGAATCAGGATAACTTTTGTAAACAACTAAATGAAATTTTAATCGAAAAAACAGAAAAATCAACAGGTTTTAAAACAAACTTTAAACAAAGATGAGGAGTATGAGTTTATAAAGAAAATGGATGGCAGGAAAAAGGAATTAAGACGAAAAAAGAGGAAAACCATACAAGATAAAGTTGAATATGCTGAGTTAACAAAGATAGTAAGGAAGAAGAGAAGAAACAGAGCAGGAAAAAGAAGGAAATAAAAGATTGAAAAGATCTTGAAAGCTGCTAGAGGACCTAAGAGTATTAATAGAGGGGTTGTAAACAGGAAAATATGCTCAATAAAAAAAACAAAGAAGGAATCACCACAAATGATAGAACAGAAATAGTTGAGATATGTGCAGATTTTTACAGAGATTTATATACATCAACTATTAAAGATGAAACAGGAACAGAAATGAATTTTGAAAACAACAAAGCAGATAAAACAGAATTACCTAAAATTTTAGTCTTGGAAGTGGAGAATGCATTAACTGAGATGAAGAGTAGGAAAACTCCAGAAAACAATATGATCACCAGTGATATTTTGAAAGCAGGTAGAACTGACACATCAAGGCAGATAACAAAATTGTTTAACAAAATATTGGAGTAATGGAAAGAGGCGAAGATCATCATTTTATGCAAGAAGGGGAGACAAGCAAGATATAAAGAATTACCACCTCATAAGTCTGTTATCTCACTTATATACACTATTCACAAGAGTACTACAAAAAAAATTGGAAAGAATTTTGGATGAATGCCAACCAAGAGAACAAGCAGGCTTTAGGAAAAATTTGTCAACACCATATCATTCATATGCAACTAACCAAATATTAGAAAAATCAAATGAATACAATTTACCTTTATGTGTGAGATTTATAAATTATGAAAAAGCATTTGACTCTGTGGAACACAGTGCAATATTAAATGCTTTAGCTACTATAGATGTCAATCTAACGTACATCAAAATCTTAAGAGATATATACACAGATGAAACAGCAAAAATACATCTTGATAAAGAGGTATCATCAGTGATAAAGATAGAGAAAGGGGTGAGACAAAGTGATCCAATATCTCAGCAACTGTTTACAGCAACTTTGCAAGAAGTATTCAGACAAACTGAACTTTAGAATGAAGGTATAAAAATAGATGATGAGACATTAACAGATCTAAGGTTTGCAGATGATGTAGCTCTCTCTACAAATTCAACAAGAAAGATGGAAGCCCTATTAAACAGTTTGAATGCCAGTAGCAAGAAAGCAGGATTAAAAATACATAAGGGAAAAACCGAATATATGACCAACTATCATGACACAGTGATACCATCAAAATTGAGGATGAAGAAATACAGAAAGCGTTAGAGTACAAATATTTAGAACAAACCTTCAAAATGGAAAACACAACAAGGGAAGAAATTATGGTAAGAAAAATGGCAATATGGTGATGTTTTGGAATGTATAAAGAAATTCTAGAGGATCAAGATATCCCCATTACTTTGAAGAAAAAGATCATGAATCATTGTGTACTACCAACCTTAACATTTGGCTGCCAAACATGGGCACTAACAAAAGAGATAAGGAAAATGATAGAAAGCACACAAAGAGCTATGGAAAGAAAAATACTTCATATAACACTACAAGACAGATGGAGAAATGACAAAATTAGAAAAATAACAAATATAATAGATGCAGTAAGGTTCATTCTAAGAACTAAATGGAAATGGGCTGGGCATGTAGCAAGGTATTCTGATAATAGGTGGACGTTAAGAATAATGGAATGGCAACCTAGGACAGGGAAAAGATCTAAGGGAAGGCAAAAGAGAAGATGGAGGGACAATATGGTAACAGAAGCAGGAATCAGATGGACACGGGCTGACGGAGAGCTACATCCAACAAGGAGATGACTGCAGCTTAGATAGATAGATTTTATCAGTTAACCTATAATTAAATCCCAAATATTTAGTGTTTTCATTGCATGTTTGAAGTTTTTTGAAATGTTATATGAGTGAGTAGAACTTTTAAGAAATTGAATGAACTTTAAATTATGTCTCACCATCTCTCTTAAACAGTATTGTGTTTGATATTTCTTTGTGGGAAAATAAAATAATAAGTACATACTTGAATGGAGTAGGCTGTTTACTCTGATATAAGATTAGGTTGACAAAAAAAGGTGTCTGTATCATTCTAGTAATGGTGCTGAATTTCAAAAATATATATAGAGAAAACAAAACATTTGTGATAGAAGCTTGTAATAATAACATTGTTTGTCAGAAAGTTCTGAAGCTACTTCTGTATGCCACTGTCACTAATTGATAGATATAGATGCACAAACACATATATACTGAGATGGTCCTCTTGTGCATCCTTATCATGAAATTTAATTTTCAGTTAAAATAATCTAATTTTTATCTACTCCTAAATGTCATTTAAGTGGGGTTTACAGTAGCTCATAAAGTACTAATCTCTTGAGCTTTGTATACATAATTGTATATTTTTTTTGTGGGATGTGATGTCTGAGTTTACCCAAAACTATTCCTGCTTGAATCATTAACATCTTAGGATGCAGTGAGGGATGAAACCCTGTTGAAAGAACTTGGAGGTGCTGCTACAGATGTGACCCAGGCTCTTAATGATCTGTTAAATCATGTACGAAATCTTCCTGAACAATATGGGCAATCTTCGGAACATGAGGGTGCTGTAGACACGATTCTTGATGCCACTGACAAGCTTTTCAGTAGTACCGGTGATGCTAGCGAGATGGTTCGGCAAGCCAAGGTTCTTGCTCAGGTATGCCATATAGCTTAAAGCTGAATCAGAAATAATACATTTCAATGAAAGCCTGAAATTATATTTTGGGTAATTTTTTGCTGTGGTATTTGCTCTTCTTGAAAATCCTGAAATAGTTATAAAGTAAACATTTGGTAGTAATATATTTCAATATAATCATCTGTAAAAAGGGTTCACAAAATTTGCACCATAGTCTTAATACAAGTGTTAATTAACTGTATAGCATGGTTAAAAGTTTGTATTTATTTATTTTGAAATTTTAATATGATAAATTTTAGTTATATTGTAAGATACATAATATTATGTCAAATATAGTTAGATGTGTATGAGCATGTGCTTATATAAATCATTTGTTATGTTCATGATATCATAAAATGATCAGTTTTCTGGAATTTTGGTCATTTAAACAAACTTGTACATTAGAACAGACTTTTACCTTATGCTTGTGAAAAAAGGAATTAAAAATACATGGGCATTATAGATTATAAATGATATTTTAGTCAACGGCTCAACTTATTCAAACCATCAAAGGAGAAGCTGAATCACAACCAGACACAGATTTACAAAAACGTTTACTAGCAGCAGCCAAAATGCTAGCAGATGCAACGACTCGAATGGTAGAAGCAGCAAAGGTATGAAAACCCTTAGTATTAGCTTGTAATTTTATTTGATATTATTATGGACTTTAATATAACATTCTGTCTAACAAAGCAGAAAAAAATTAAATGAGGGAATGGATATGTTACGGCATTTAAAAGCATTATTTCGATTGAGGTGTATTAGTATTTCCTGAATACATGCATAATTTGGTTTACACATAAATGATATTTTCTATAGCCATTGGGATATGAGTTTAAAATTAAGTATTTTTATACCATTTTAAATAACTGCCTAATATTTTATTGGGAAAGAAAAAGTATTTTTAACAACACATCATATTTTATATGCAGTGTAAACAATGAGCTATGTAATCAACATACAGTTCTTACTGTTTTTTTGGTTATTATGGTTGTATATTTTGGGCCCGGCATGGCCAGGTGGTTAGGGCGCTCGACTCGTAATCCCGAGGGTCGCGGGCTCGAGTCCCTGTCACACCAAACATGTCAACCTTCGCCTTTGCCTGGTCCCAAGTCCGGGATGAGAAAGGGGGAGGGTTGGGCACTGGGCTAGCAACTCCACCCTGTAAAAACCAACCTGCTACAAGTAACTGCAACAACACCTTCTGTTGGCGAGGTGTTGTTGCGGCCCTATGCTCCACTGGGAGTTTACAGGAATAAAAAAAAAATGGTTGTATATTTTACATAATAAATAATTTGTTTTTTCTAATGAATAGTCTCAAAATGTTTTTGAAAAACAATTACTTTAATAGTTCCAAACTCCTGTATTTACATTAAAGGCAATTTTTTTTTTCATACAGGTGTAATATTACTATTTTATATGTGTGAAAAGAAACAATAAAGTTATCTAATTGTTGTATCTGAATGTAGCATCAGCATTTAGTGGACTCATTTCGTGCTTGAGAATGTTCTCTGTGATACTTTCCAAACTAAAGCCTTCAATCACAGAAAGATAATGCAATTCTTGAATCTTCATTATTATTTTTTTCCACTGGTTTCTGTTTCAGTATCTAATATTTTTATAGGGTTGTGCCGGTAATCCACATGATTCCGAGTCACAAGATGCACTGCGACGAGCTGCAGAGGAATTAAGAACTGCTACAAATGCTGCAGCCAGCAATGCATTAAAGAAGAAGTTGATTCACAGACTTGAGGTATGTTCTGCAAAGCACTGCTTTAAAGTGTAATCAGACAGTAAGCTAAGAGTATTGTATTACAGAAAATAAATATTGTAACTTCAAGATGACATCATGATCTGTTACAAGTCTATCATTTTCTGTGAAGATACCCATTTTTACTTGTGGGTCTTAGTTCAAATTAATGTAAAATTGATTATATTATTTCTTAAACAGTAGTATGTTGTGAGAAGATTGATTTTAGAAACAGAGAAAATAACATAGCCTTTGTACTGTTACAAGTGAGGTTTGTTTCAAAAGTTAGAAGATTGTTTTAGCAAACATACGAGAGCAAACCAATAGATGTGTGTGTGTGTGTGTGTGATGTTCAATTTAAAATGCCTTACACATATTTTTATATACTTGAAAGTGCATCGTTTCTCATTTATATAAATTTCAGACATTTTGCACATATGTAAGCAAAGATTAATGTAGAGTAACTATCCCAGATATCTTGCATAATATTTAAATTCTAGATTGTACAATAACTTTGCAAAAATTGATATGTTAATAAGCACTTTGTCTGTTTTGTTCTGGATGAAGTTGAACCAGTTGTGACTAAACTTGCTATACTGGTAAAAAAAAACAGTCTTGAATTATACAGGTCAAAGTATACTCGTATGTTTCAGGTTTATTGTTTTTCTTTTTATATTTGCTATTTTTCATCATGACATTTTAAAGTAAATTCAGTATATAATCCCTAAAGGCTTACCAAAAAAAATGTATATAAAGTTTAGTTGTACATTAAATTCAATGTTTAAACAGTACTTATTTTTTAGGAATTTTGTTGATATGTAGAACTTTACCAATACAGGTTGTAACTATTGTTAGTTCATTGTGGACTAGTTAGTCAACTAGGCTAGTTCTATACTCTCTTTTTCTATCTCTTCTTTTTTTTTTTTAAGTACTGTAGATGCAGATCTTAGATCCTTGTTATGTTATTTTCTGTAATAAAAACTTGGTATTTTAAAGGCAGTACAAAAATAAATGTGTTCTGGTACAATGTGGCATATATATTAAAGTATTCATGGTTTGTTATAGAGAGATAAAACTAACATTGTAGTGAGTTTTAAATTAATGGTAAATATGCGAGTAATCATAGTGAAAATATAGAAATAAATGAAATATACAAATAAAAAGGTACTGTTAGCTTAGCAGTACATAAGATTTACTTTGGTGTAAGAAAAGGTATTGAAGCATGAACAAATAGAAACATATCATTAAAAGATAATTGTATCAATTTCATAGTTATGCAATTTTATTTTGAAACCAGTGAATATAATTGTATTTTGTTCCAGCAAAGCCTCAGGTGCTGTTGGAGTTTCTTGTAGTAATGTTTCCCCCATGTGTTTATCCACAGAATGCTGCAAGAAATGCTGCTTCGATGGCTACCCAGAACATAGCAGCAGCACAGAGAGCTTCATCACATAATCAAAACTGGGCATCTCAGGAAGAGCTTATTGAAAGCTGCAAGGTAAAAGAAATATTTCTTTGTAACCTAGTACATACATTTTGAAGTTATCTTCTTTGTGTGTGTATATGATAGGATAGGCCACTGTTATAATTTGTCTCAGGTGTGACTGATTGTAGATGTAAAGAAAAAACTTTTCAAAAAAAAAAGAGGTAAATGTAAGGATGGCCATTGCATCATCTCTACAGAATAACACAGGTACGCAGTGTAGTAAAATGTTAACAGACAAAAATATGATAAAACTGAATTGTGATTGAATAGTTATATGTATATATATATATATATATATATTGCTATATGTTAATTTTTGCATGTGATATTATGTAGGGATGATGCAAATACCATCCCTACTATCTTATTTGCATTATTTTTGAAGGATTGATATTAGCCATCCCTACATTTACTTCCTTTATTGAAATTTTTTTTCTTTACTTGTTGTTATTTTTTTAATGCAGTGTTTCAGTAGACACAGGAAGGTTGCATTTACAACCAAGTTCTTAATACAATGAGGTTCCAACTATAATATTTATTGTTTATCTATCATTGGCTGGTAATTCCTGTTTCACCCTGTATGTAAGCTTTTTAAAGGATCACAAAATATCTGTAACAGAGCTAACTTCAAAGGGTAATTGATAACATTGTTTATACTAGAATTATGATTTTTCTTAATCACTACTAGTTATTAGTAATACTTATAAAAGCGGATACTCCATTTGAAACTGTCACCTCAGTGAAATTGAATTGACACCACTGTTCTGGTTTTGAGTTATCATGTTTTAAAAAGAAGCAGAAGAACAAGATATTCAAACTTGTTGCTATGATTTATAGACATTCCTAGAGCTTGTGACTCAGTCATTACATTCATATTATTATAAAAGGAAACACTGTATAGTATTGTAAAGTTCTGATGACCTGTTTAGGAGATATTTAAAATACAATTTTGATGAATAATCTAAGCCATCCCTACATTGGCAGTGCTACTGCCAGCCAGATCAAGCTTATGTGATTATTATCTGTTTTACACTGTGAACCTTTTTTAAGCTTTTATTGCAAAATTATTATATGAGGAGAAAACAATGCAATTAGACAATCTTTTTTTTTGTTCATTAATGAGGATTTTTTTATAAAGTGTAGGGAATTATACAGAAAACTCTGTGTTTAAAGTAATTATATAAAAACTACTTATCATAGAAGAACCAAGTTTTATTAGTGGCATAATGAATATCATAAGTTTTATCGAGGAAAGTTTTTGATATGGTAAAATTTATTTCATTAACTGTCACAGAAGGTCATTAATATGCATCCAATAATTTTCAACCAGTATATCAAGCCTATTCTTATAAACGTACTGCTGCAAGCATCATCTGTTTTAGACTGTTCGTTGATCTTTTTAATATCCTACATTTCATTTAAATAGCTAATCTCATAGTGTTAAAAGAGGTAGAAAGAAATTAAAGCAGTGCTTGTTTGTGAGAAAAAAAAAGGAATTTGGGTAGACATAGTAATATGGCTTAGAAATACCTTGTATTATGTCCAAAAATTCCAGGATAATACTGGTGATTTTTAATGTGTCATTAGTGAAATTTTATTTTGTTGAGACAAGTAATACCTAAAATATTAGGTCGTCAAGAAATTAATGTCACTTTTTTATATGAGAAAACCCGAACAACTTGTATATCAAACAAACATTTATTAAATGAATTAGTCTCCATACATATCGATGATGGTTTTCCATCTTACAATCAGGTTGTTAATGCCCTGATTATAGAAATCACTTGACTTTGAAGCATAAAAACATGTCGATGTCCTCTTTAACACCTTCCATATTTGCATACATTTTCCCATTAAGATGGTGTTGCAGCAAATGAAAAAAATGGTACTTTGATGGTGCCATATCGGGAAAATATGGTGGGTGGAGGGGAACTTCCCAACCCAACTCCCTAATCTTGTGTTGCATCAAACGTGCCACATGTGGAGATGCATTGTCGTGGAGGAGAAGAACACCTTTCCAATCGATGAGTGAAGGGCTTGATTTAAATGTTCCAGTTGCTGACTATAGATCTTTGCATTGACAGTTCACTGTAGATTTAGGAGTTTGAAATGAATTACTCGTCCCACCAAATGCAAAGCATCACTTTCTGCAGATGGAGTCCAGGTTTTGGGGTTGAAAGTGGTTTTTGTCTAGGATTGAACCATTGTTTTTGGCATTTAATATTCACATAGAGAATCCATTTTTCATCACCGGTAACAATTCTGTCCAAAAATGGTTC